GGGGGAGGGAGCTGGCCTGCGCTTGGTAACAAGGCGTCAGCGCTTCTCGCGGTGCCGGTGCGGACCCCAGCGGGGGCAGACGCGCCTTTCCTCCGCCAGCGCGCCACGCACCCAGCAAGCTGCAGCCTAGGGCGTGCACCAGCCCTTTCTACGGCGCCCCTCAGCCTGTGGCGGGCTAGCGCGGCAGAGCGCCCTCAGGCCGGGAGAGGGCTGGGTTGTGTCCCGTGGGGCCGCTTCTAGCTTCGGCCCGCCTCCCCGCTGTGCCCGGGAGCCAGTCTCTGTGCTCAGAGCCGCGCTCCCCGGGCTGCCCGCCCTCTTCCCCGAAAGTGCCTAGGATCCGAGCCAGCTGTGGGTGGGGACGTTTGGCAAGGACGCACACCCGCCCCGGGGCCCAGCGTCTGCATCGGGGCGGCCCCGCTATGTGTGTGTGTGGGGGGGGGGAGGCTTCAAAGTAGGTAGCGGGTGAGCATCAGTTTCACAGGATGCTGGAGAGGCTGACGCGTCCTGCTTCTTGGCAGAAAAAGGACACAGCCCCTTCGAGAATCTTCTGTGTGCTGGGACTGACAGACTTTGAAGTCAAACCAGCGCCGGGCTCCCTCTGCTGGCTTCAGTCTTCTGCAGAGCTAGAGCCTAAGAGCGAGCTCTCCCTTTTTTAGACAGTGTTTACACGCAAGCGATGGAAGCCTTTCTTTCTACGCCAATATCTGCCACGGAGTTAAATGTCAAGGACAGACTGGCAGCTGGAAGATAGTTTTGCTTTTAAGGCATCAAGGCTTCCCCTCTCCCCCCCCCCGAAAGGGGCAGGCCAAAAGCAGAGGGAAAGGGAAAAATGTTACTTGACACCGCATAATAGTTTGTAGAGGTAAAGAAGGAAACTTTATTTAAATGAATGCAATTTTTAGGACTGCTCCTGAATTTCCTTTGTACATTTCCACTCGGCTTTCAGTACAATCTCTTTCGTGAGAGATGGATTTGGGCTTGCATGCCCCTTCATTTGGAATCTGAACAGTTTACAGATGTAAAAGGAGCCTTTATCACAGCGCTCTATGCTAGTGTCCCACAAATTAGGATGAAGGGAACAGTCAATATAGAAATGTGATTAGCTTTTTTGAAAGAAAAAATGTGTGAAATTCCTGTGGTACTTCATAGTTCAATGAAGGTATATTGGAAAAAATCTTTTTGTAGCCTATCCAATCCATAATTTAAAGAGTTCCTGATGACACAAAAATGATGGGTTCTAGAATATTTTTAAATCAAAGAGTACTAAGGGGATTTCAAGATGAAAAAATGTGAGTGAACTTTATTTCTGTGCTAAATGCACCAATACCATGTTAGGCATCTGAGTTTTACTGATTTTTCATTTTTAGGCCCTGCTTTTTCAAATACTATGCTTGTTTGCACAACTAGAGCCTTATTTAAGTCCACCTTTAAGAAACACATTATTTGACAACATACTAAAATGGAATATAATTTTGACTCAAAGCTCACATACAGTGTTATAGGCTCATTATAGTATAGAAATATTGTCTGGAATTACACAAAACAGATTGCCTGTATACAGCTAGAGATGCCCTCACCACAAACTTACAAAAACAAAGTTAAATTGTAGCTTAAACCCCAATAGCTAACAGAATGCAATCTTTTGCAGAACATGACTCCACTGTATGGAAATACCCTTAATTAAATTTCCTTCCTCTAGCTGCATGTGTACCTTGAAGGTTAAAAGACCAGGATTATTTTGCATGGGGAAGAGTTGGTTCATAAAGCTGAGGAGAGTGGTCCTAACTTCAAGAGAGTTTTAAAACCAGGCTGATACCTACCCAGGATGCCATCAACACCTGAATACCAATCTCTTTCAAAAGGCAGTGTATTGAATAAACAGGTAGCAAATCAGCAAGAACTCAAATAATGCAGGGGCAAAAGAGGTGTCCCCCAGTCATTCTCCCCCACGTCAATGATAGTCAGTAATATCCCTATGGTCACACCACTGACTTTAAAAGCTTATGTTTTATTGCCAAGAGGCAATGGTTTTTCCATTAAGGGATTCAGAGGCAATAAGCACACAAATTGGGTGAAGGCTTAAACATTTTACAAAGCAAATATTAAGGTAAAATACAATGCTTAATATTAGAGTAAAATACAATAAAGCAACTCTTAGAGTAAAATACAATACTTATTAAGCCTAAGCAAACCTCAGAATAAAATGCAATGTCTACGTCCGTTCTGCTGCCAGGAACCCCCTGAAGGACAGCAGACGGACCCCAGTGGCCAGTGCGTAGCACCTTCTGCAGCTTTGGTCTACACTGAGGTGTATCCCTAGCACTGTTAGATCTACAATAATCACTCCTGTTGTTTTGAGAACCTAAGAAGATCGTTGATACATTGCATATTTTCCCACATCCAATTAGCTTGTTGATACTTTCCATGTTTTCCCAGGCCAAATAATTAGCATTATCAGGTGGGAAACATTCAGCAAAGATATGTCATCTTCCCAAGCACTCCTGCACTCCCCTACCAGGTGCATGGCCTTGGGACCTGTCCCAGAACTTGTTGAAAGTCAATAGTGCATTCCTACACTGTACCATCTTGAGCAAACAGCTAACTCTTTCTTTGAGAATAATAAAAGAATAATAAGAAGCAAAAAGCACAAATGGCTGCCTAGAGCATCCAGGCCTGTAAGAAAATGCAAGCACAAAAGAAACGATTGTGGTACACCACCTAACTTCCTCGACCTCACAATCGTCTTTCGCATTTCCACTACATATGTACACTAGAAATTTTTTCCAGCTAAATTATTCTAGTTTAGGTAAATTGGCAACTTCTTCCCTAGTATGGACATAGTTATGCTAGTATAAAGTGTTACAGCTTGTTTTAGTTAGGGAAACAATAAGTTGCACCAATATAACAGCATTCACATTGAGGTTTAAGCTGGTATAACTATATGTTTAAAACGGTACGTCTACACTGCGCAGCTAGCTGCCCCGCGTCTTAACAAGCCACCCATTATTTTGAAATATTTTTCTAAATAACGGGTGCACTATTTTGGCATCCCTGTAACCCTCATTCCACGAGGGTTAAGGGATGTCTCGAAATAGTGCATTATTTTGAAATAAAAATAAGATATGCGTTGTACAAATTGCATATCTCTTAATCACACCCCTAACATACCTCTGTAAACTACACTTTTAAGTAAGCAGAACCAATATGGGTCGGAACATAAGTACAATAAACTTCCGATAATCTGGCACCTTTAGGACCCAGGGGGTGCTGGATTATCAGATATGCCGGACTATCAGAAGGGGGGGCTATGAGGGGTCTGGAGTGGGGTGGGAGGGGATGCCACCACAGACCCCTCATAGCCCCCCCTTACGATAGTCAGGCTCTGCCCCAGGCGTTCCTGATTCAGCTGCTGCTGGTCAGTTTCAGTAGCAGCTGAATCGGGAATGCCTACAATAGAGCAGCTGGGGTGCTGCTGGGTTGGTCCCACAGCGCCAAAGGACGGCGCTGCGGGACCAACCCCGCAGTACCCCAGCTGCTCTGCCTCAAGCGTTGGGATTCAGCCTGCTGGTGAAACTGACGCTGCTGGTCAGTTTCAGCAGCAGCTGAATCCCGATGCCTGGGGCAAAGCAGCTGGGGGGCTTTGGAGGT